TCCCTAGCATTGTGGATCCCATTGGTTTATATTGTGATAACAATGGTGCTATCGCACAAGCTAAGGAGCCTAGATCTCACCAACGATCCAAACACATACTTAGGCGTTATCACCTCATTCGAGAGATAATCGATCGGGGAGATGTGAAGATATGCAGAGTACCTACACTTGACAATATCGCTGACCCATTAACAAAGCCTCTTGCGCAACAGAAGCATGATGGTCATACTAGATCTATGGGTATTAAGGGTATGCCTAATTGGCTCTAGTGCTAGTGGGAGATTGTTGGTGTAAGCCCTAGAGGCCAATATTTTTTGGTACTTGTATCGGATTATTCGTTTAATAATAAAAGGCATTTCTTTATTATGTTTGTCTTTCAGAATAATCTGTTTAATGAAATGTTAAGTCTGACTTAATCATGAGATCCCATTAAACATAAAGACATTATTCTTAAAATATCCGTAGTCAAGCTTTATTGCAAAGTGGGATAACATTAAAAGCATTGAGACTATTATGAAGATAGACTGATGATCACATCTCATGGATCATGGATAAAGAGTTATCAAGTCTTGACATAGGTATAAATATTAGGAGTAATATTTATACCGGATTGACCCGCTATGAGAATACTACATAGTATGTTATGCAAAGTGTCATAAGTTATTCTCATGGTGATAATGGTGTATTACCACCCTTCGACCTGAAACCACTATGGACCCTAGATGTAGAGTCGGGTGCTTTATTGCTGATCAAACATTATCCGTAACTGGATGATCATAAAGACAGTTGATGGGCACTCCACGAAGCATGCTGAGGGACATGAGTGTCCTAGATGGAATTTGCCAATCCTGCATAACAGGAGAAATGTCTAAGGGCCCAATATTGAACTGGACAAGGATGACACAGTGTATGCCTTGTGTTCAATATAGACATAGGGGCAAAAGGGTAATTGTACAAACATATATTATCACGAAAAAGGTTTTGTCAGATCATATGACATTTTCGTGACTTGGGTAGCAGTGATGTGTTGCTAGATACCGCTTACTGTTTATTATGTTAAATATATAATTTAATATAATTACCAACGTTACGAAATCCTACAGGGTCACACACATAAAGACAGTTTGATGAGAGATAGAGAAATCAAAAAAGGAACACCGTAAGGTACGGTGCACTTAAGTGAAAAATATAAATTCGGATAATATAATAATAATTATTGTTATTTTATAATGGTTATAAAATAATAATAAAATAAATATATTTATTATAATAATAGTTATTATAATAATATATAATATTATTATGGATCATGTGAATTGGGTTTTAGCCCGCATCCCACAAGAGAGTCTATAAAAGGAACCCTTGTGATGAAGCTTTCACTTGATGCAATTTCGTTTTGATTCTCTTTTCTCACTCAAATAATTCCGTTCGTAAGCAGCTAGCACTGTGACCGGAAGCTGTTCGTGTGGACTGAGTAGAGGCGTTGCACTTCATCAACGCTTGTGATCGCTGCATCAAAGATCTGAATCGCCAGAATCGCCACAAAGAGGTAACGATTCTATCACTGACCATGCTCATTCGTAAGGATCACTAAAGGAAATTTTTGTTTTCCGCTGCGTTTAGATCGCAATTTTCCTTCACGTAGTCACCCTCAAATCACAGTCTCTAGTGCGTCAGAGATTGCAAACATCATAAAAGACAGTTCTTGCGTAAAAGACTGAAAACAAACATCAAAATGTCATTTTTGTCCGCTTGGACTCTTAATCAGAAGAACCTCTCTTTTCAGAAAGATAAAAAAACAGTCAGACAAATCTGTGTCTTCCGTAGCCCGAACTACGTTTGCTCTGATCTTTCATGCTATATGAAAGTACGTAGGCATAGGATGCCGTATCCTAGCGAGCAACCTTCCCCTCCTTTCCCGTGGGTAGGCGAACTACGTTGACTCTGATTTCTCGTTCCAGACGGGAATACGTAGGCATAAAGTGTGATACTTTGCCTAGTCATTTTCTTTTCTTTCAACCCCAGACCCGTAGAGTAGATAGAATAACAATCTGTACTAGAAAACAAGCGTGGATCCCGTCGAGTACGACAGACATGAGGGGTGCTAATACCTTCCCCTTGCGTAACCGACTCCCGAATCCAGGATTTGGTTGCGATGACCATTCCTTTCCCGTTTTGTGTTAGGTTTACTCTGAGCGTTCCTTTTCCCTCCGTTGGGATAAATAACGCACGGTGGCAACTCTTCTATTTAGCCGGCGCCAATTTTCGCAGTAGCGACACACATCCTTTGATTAAACAACTAGCGTGGATCTTGTTGAGTACAACGAATGCGAGGGGGTGCTAATACCTTCCTCTCGCATAACCGACTCCCGAACCCAAGATTTGGTTGCGATGACCTTGTCTTCTCCCTTTCTTCAGGTTTTCTTCGATCGTTTCTTTTCCCTGCGTCGGTATAAATAATGTTCAATGGCGTTTCTTCTGTTTATTTCTGCTAGGTGTTTTTCGCAGTTGCGACATTTACTACTAGTTTAAAATATGGTTACTACTAGTTTAGTATGTGGTTACTAATAGTTTAACATGTGGTTACTGCTAGTTTAGTAAGTGGTTATTGCTAGTTCGGTATGTGGTTACTACTAGTTCAGTATATGTTTATTGCTAGTTTAGTCTGTGGACTTAACTATCTCTCATCACGAGGACTCAACTAAGTCTTGCCATGAAGACTCAACTAAGTCTCATCTGAGGGACTCAACTAAGTCTCCTTAGGAAGACTCGACTAAGTTTTGCATGAGGGACTCAACCAAGTCTCGCTTGAGGGACTCAACTATATCTTGTCAGGAAGACTCAACTAAGTCTCACATGTGGGACTCAATTAAGTCCAGTAAGGTAGACTCGACTAAGTCTTGCATGTGGGACTCAATTAAGTCTAGTAAGGTAGACTCGACTAAGTCTCGAGAATTGAAGGTATGCATAAGGCTTTAGTAAGGCTTCTGTAAAACGCCTGATGATGGGTGAGAAAACTAAAACACTTCAGCCTATGCGAGCCCTCGTGCTTGAGGGACTGCATAATGGTGTGACTACAAGGGGTTGTGGGGTGTGGCGAAGGCATACACTTCACCTATCACTACTTCCAGATCTCCCTTTTTTTGGTTTGAGCACCCCTCTTTTGGATAAAGCGACATTTCTCCAGATATGTTTCCTGAATCCTTCGTGTTTCCGTACATAATGCGTGATCGTGTGGATAAAGTATATTTAGTCAACAATAGAATATCATAGAGAGAGTCATGGAAATTAACTGCGCATTTTGAACATCATGAAATTAACTACCTATGCCTAGAGTGGTTGCTTTATCTCTAGAAGTCTTAGATCTAGGTCAAGTGTGGCTATAAATACTTCAATATCGTGATAAAGAATAACAACCTAACTTCAATACAAAAATACATGCATGTCGAATCTTTCACTCCATGTGAGATAGCTTTCAACCTCACAACAATCCTTAAAATCTCTAACATTCTTTAATCATTAGAGATTGTTCCACATTTGTATTTTTAACAAATACAAGATGAGTCACTCTTATTACGCTTAGAGTTTTAGAGGATCAAGAAACATATACATTTTTAGTTATATGTACTATAACAAAATCATTCACAATTAAGAAAAAATGAAATTCTCATATCACAATTATAAATAAAATATTATTTATTTATTTATTGAACAATTAATATATTAAATAAAATAAAAAATTAAATTTATTTATAATAGTAAATAGAAGGTGTACTGTTTTTATTTATTAAATAGTTATTTTTGTCTAGCTTTTACGTAATGGTCATGTATGGAAATGTAAATTTATTGAAGTTGATTTTAATATTTATCATTTTTAGTGATGAATATTATATATTATATTTTTGTATTTGTGTTTCATAAAAAGAAATAAATAAAACAACGATTGCAATATAATTTTGTTTTGTTAAACTACACTACTTTAGTTTGAGTTTCAGTTTTCTACTAAAAAATAAAACTAATTTAAAAATAAAATCTTAGACAAGTTTAAGTAATCGCATGTTCAATTTTTTAAAGTTTTTCTTATAGCATTTTTTTATGCAGATAATTGCAAAAAGATTAATCCTTCAAATTAAGTAATGAGAAAATTCGTTCATAAAACTTTTCATAGAGTAGTATATTCAGAGTAGAGTTTCAACTTATAATATATATTTATTTTTTTTTATCATTAGTATTTGATTTACTTAACTATCAAATCTGGTTCAAAATCAATTTTGGTATTAAGTGATTTTAATTTCTAGTTTGTTATAATTTATAAGTAGTACTTAAAGGAATGATAGAGTGTAGCGCTTTTTTTAAGATGAAAATTATCTTATCCTATATAAAGATGTATGTATCACTTTATTATGATTTTTCAATGAGAATTTTTCAATTTCGATGATCATTTTGATCAATTTAATAGAAATCTTACATTTAATTTTTTAAAGTAATATTATTATTATTATGATAAAATCTACGCTTAAATTAAGTCATTTTAACTTAAATGCATAATTTTAATTAAAAAATTACTATTAATATTTTTTTAATACAAAGTGATAAAGAATAAAAATAAATGTGTATTTTAAAAGTACTCTCTCCATTTATTTCAAGTGTTATTTTTTTAATCTATTAAAAAAATTAATCAATATTATTATTTCTTAAATAATAATTATTTCTTAAATAAAAAATTTTGTTTTATTTATATTACGTAGCTTAATTATTTAATACAGTACATTCAATTAATTTTTTCGGGATAATTGAAACAAAAATACAATTAATACTCTTTGAACTTTGTAATTGACATTTAAGAAAGAAACAAAAATTTATATTTAAAAAGGAAGGAAGGTAGTATTAAAACGAGTGAGGTATATTGGGTTCCGTTGTACATGTACTGTGTGAATTATCTATAATTGAAGGTTTGAGTTTGAGTTTAGATTGCGGTGTAGGTTGAGAAATCGAAAACAATGAGCTCAATTTCAACCTTGGCGTTTCCGCTTCTAGTCGGAGCCAGTGTCGGAGCCCCCTTTTCTCGTTCATCTTCTCTTCGCACACAACATTCTACGTCAATGTCGGTGGCAGCTTCTTCTTCTTCTTCTCAGGATGTTGCTGCAAGTCAATTAGTCACCTTTCTCGGTAAAGGTGGCTCTGGCAAAACCACCGCAGCTATCTTCGCCGCTCAGGTACAATTTTACTAATTTTTTAACCCTAAAATTTTAAATATTAATAATAATAATCTATAATATCTATATCTATAATCTATATCTATAATTCTATAATCATTAAAATGCAATATTTGGTTAGGTGTAACTTTTTTTATACCAAATTTAACTTTATTTTAAAATATATAATTCATACAATAACTTTCATTGAATTACTACACATAACTTCCATGTAAAATTAATATTAAATAAAAATATATCATTTATATTTATATGTGTGCAGTAAAAAAGCGGACAGACGGGCACGCGAGTGCCGGTCTGGACGCTAGTATATATAATATAAAGACATTACTTGGTTTTTGGTGTAGTTTTTTTTTATACCAAATTTACCCTTATTTTAAAGTATATAACTTCTATTAAACTACTACTATCATCTTTCATATAACTCCCTACTAATAACTTCCCACATGTAAAATTAATATTAAATAAAAATAGGGCACGCTGCTACTACTACTACTACTAATAATAATAATAATAATAATAATAATAATAATAATAATAATAATAATAATAATAATAATAATAATAATAATAATAATAATAATAATAATAATAATAATAATAATAATAATAATAATAATAATAATAATAATAATAATAATAATAATAATAATAATAATAATAATAATAATAATAATAATAATAATAATAATAATAATAATAATAATAATAATAATAATAATAATAATAATAATAATAATAATAATAATAATAATAATAATAATAATAATAATAATAATAATAATAATAATAATAATAATAATAATAATAATAATAATAATAATAATAATAATAATAATAATAATAATAATAATAATAATAATAATAATAATAATAATAATAATAATAATAATAATAATAATAATAATAATAATAATAATAATAATAATAATAATAATAATAATAATAATAATAATAATAATAATAATAATAATAATAATAATAATAATAATAATAATAATAATAATAATAATAATAATAATAATAATAATAATAATAATAATAATAATAATAATAATAATAATAATAATAATAATAATAATAATAATAATAATAATAATAATAATAATAATAATAATAATAATAATAATAATAATAATAATAATAATAATAATAATAATAATAATAATAATAATAATAATAATAATAATAATAATAATAATAATAATAATAATAATAATAATAATAATAATAATAATAATAATAATAATAATAATAATAATAATAATAATAATAATAATAATAATAATAATAATAATAATAATAATAATAATAATAATAATAATAATAATAATAATAATAATAATAATAATAATAATAATAATAATAATAATAATAATAATAATAATAATAATAATAATAATAATAATAATAATAATAATAATAATAATAATAATAATAATAATAATAATAATAATAATAATAATAATAATAATAATAATAATAATAATAATAATAATAATAATAATAATAATAATAATAATAATAATAATAATAATAATAATAATAATAATAATAATAATAATAATAATAATAATAATAATAATAATAATAATAATAATAATAATAATAATAATAATAATAATAATAATAATAATAATAATAATAATAATAATAATAATAATAATAATAATAATAATAATAATAATAATAATAATAATAATAATAATAATAATAATAATAATAATAATAATAATAATAATAATAATAATAATAATAATAATAATAATAATAATAATAATAATAATAATAATAATAATAATAATAATAATAATAATAATAATAATAATAATAATAATAATAATAATAATAATAATAATAATAATAATAATAATAATAATAATAATAATAATAATAATAATAATAATAATAATAATAATAATAATAATAATAATAATAATAATAATAATAATAATAATAATAATAATAATAATAATAATAATAATAATAATAATAATAATAATAATAATAATAATAATAATAATAATAATAATAATAATAATAATAATAATAATAATAATAATAATAATAATAATAATAATAATAATAATAATAATAATAATAATAATAATAATAATAATAATAATAATAATAATAATAATAATAATAATAATAAAGAAATGATTGTTTTCCATAAATGTATGTATGGTTATAAATTTCATAATAATCCCTTTGTGCCTGGTATTTCAGCATTATGCAATGGCTGGATTCAAGACATGTTTAGTGATACATAGCCAAGACGTCACTGCAGACTATCTCCTCAACTCTAAAATTGGAACTTCCCATGTCCTTTGCACCAACAACCTTTCAGCTGTTAGGTTGGAAACAACCAAAGTGCGTCTGCCTTTTTCTATTTCCTCCTTGCCCAGACATATTCATCTCCTTCCCTACACAATTTCACCCTTTGTTTGTTTTTTCAACAACTCTAGATGCTTCTTGAACCTCTTAAACTTCTCCAGCAAGCAGATGCCCAGCTTAATATGACACAAGGAACACTTGGAGGGGTGGGTACGTCGTAATATCTTTTCTATGTTAACATTTATGACACAATTGTCACTATGTGTTCCTCTTTTCTGTCATAGATTGTTGGAGAAGAGTTTGGCATTATGCCCGGAATGGACTCCATCTTTTTAGTACTTGCACTTGAGAGACTTGTAGGATTTTTGGGGATGGCGCCTTCAAAGAGTCAACACGATAAATTTGACATAGTAATATATGATGGTGTCAGCAGCGAGGAAACCTTGAGAATCATGGGTGGATGCAGTAAAGCAAGGTTTTCGATTAGCCACTTTCTATCTCAAAGACATGCACATCCTCAAAATTTTCTTCTATTTCATATTTTGATTTTGTAGATTGTACTTGAAATATATCCGCACATTGGCTGAGAAAACTGACCTTGGGAGATTGGCTGCTCCTTCACTCCTCAGACTTGTGGATGAGGCCATGAGAATAAGTAGCAGCAGATCTTATTTAAACGGGAGGATGAGTTCAGAAACATGGGACAATTTGGATCAACTTCTCGAGGTAAGATTAGACACTATTTAATAATTACACTTTATGATATATGTAGCATACCCTACTTAGTTGATAACAATTGGTTGTTTCTCTTGATGAAAAAAATCATATAGTTAAGTTTTGATTATGCTTGTCCAGAAAGGATCTTCCGCCTTCTCAAACCCACAGAGATTTGGTTGCTTCCTTGTGATGGATCCTAACAACCCAACCTCGGTCAATTCTGCATTACGTTATTGGGGGTGTACAATTCAGGCTGGTGCTCAAGTTTCAGGTGCTTTTGGACTCTCCTCACACCAACCAAAACTAGAATCATACGAAAGAGCAAAGAAAGATCTTTCTCCTTTGCCTTCTGCTTTTATATCAAGTCCATTAATGGTTAGCCCAATAGACTGGAACGGAGTTTTACTGGACACTGCGAATCAAGATGCTAGGCATCTTCTTACCTCACTATCGAGCCAATCCAGTAATATGACATCATCAGTTAAGTTTGATGTCAAAAGAAAATCGGTTACTCTCTTCATGCCAGGTTTTGACAAATCAGAGATTAAGCTATACCAAGTATGTAATTTCCTGCCGCTCATAAATTATCGGTTTTGTAAATTTCTTTATAACCATATTCTTCATGTACTCCTTTTGACATATTTTATGAAAATTAAGATGATTATTATCCTCTTGGCCATTAAAAGAAATGAAATGCACCTAAGGTCTCAACTTGTCATTCTGTACACGGATTTTATTTATATGAAAAAAAGATACTGTAGATGATGAGAAGAGTACATTGTTTTCATAGAAGGTTTTGCCAGCTTCCTGGCAGATGAAATTTTTGACTTGCAAAACTGATGATGGAATTATTTGTTGAAGTGTTTACATTTCATTAAAGATCAATCAAATCAGTTTGGACGCTAGTGCAAGGGTGCCAACCTAGTTGGGATGTTTGTGCCTTCATCTTTAGCTTGATTTTAACTTTGTTGCTTAAAAATAATAATTAAAGATCAATCAAATAGTGCGACTTTTTATTTGGTATTACATTTTTTGGTTCAAATGGGGAAGTTGAATTCTATGGTTTGTGTTTTTGTTTGACACTTGTCACACGAGTTATATTGTGCTTCTCTATCACAAATTCTGCACTTATCACATGCTGCAATTTTCACATTATGCTAGTGGCTAACTTTTGAGAATAAACATGGTGTTGATTACTTGTCTCTTTAAAATAAATGCAGTATAGGGGAGGATCTGAGCTTTTGGTAGAAGCCGGAGATCAACGACGTGTCATCGCCTTATCCCCAGAAATTCAAGGAAAGGTTGGCGGAGCCAAATTCCAGGACAGAAGTCTTGTTATTACATTGCTATAACAGTAAAAATATTTTTTCCCCTTCCTTTTTCACCTTTTATGCCGAGTCCAGAAAGAGTCCTGCCGAGGATTATTTATGTTACAGCCGAGGCATATTTTCTGACTCCACATTTCTGCATGAATTGAACAATCAGTAAATTACGCAAAGGAAATGTGTCTCTTTTCATTCTCTCCTTTGTAGTTTTTAGATAATTATTAGTAACTGTTGTATGTTGTATGTGAACTAACTGCTTTGTGCAGTTATGTAACTGCTGTTGGTAGTCATCAGAGTAATAAATAGCTAGTGTGTAGACGGACATTTCTACCGCGCTTAATTATGTATATATTTCATTGTAATGATTGCTGGAGTTATATCAATAGTAAAGAAGTTTATTCAGTATGTTTAATTTAATTTCCAACTAGTGCTATAATGAGTTATATCAATAGTAAAGAAGTTTATTCACTGTGTTAGATTTAATTTCCAACTAGTGCTATAAGGATTATCTTGGAGTTCAAAGTCGCACTCACAATATAATTGGTGTATTACTGTATAATATCCAGTATGTATAAGCTATGCAAATTGCAGCAAAATGAGTTATACAGTAGAATGGGCAACATATACATATATAAGAGAAGTAAATACTAAGGGAAAAGAAAAAAGAGAAAAAAAAACAATCTTGTGATGGCATTCTATGATTCTGGTTTAGTTTCTTCTTCACCAACTTGAGGGGTTTGAATGCGTCTCCTTAGGTCTTCGAAAGCCTTCATGCTCTCGGCGTCAAAGCCTCCTGCAAACTGAAAGCAAAAGGAATTCACACCACCATTACTGTATTATTCGGTAGGTTATTATATATATTTTTTACATGAATATTGATCGAAATATTAAGTACGTTCTTGCTTGTAACATTGAGTTGATTATGCACATATCAAAGCTCAATTTTGTAAAGCACTTTGTTGTTTCTGTCTGAGTTGGCAATGGAATATCAATGAAGTTTAAAATAGCAGAGTTTTTAAAAAATTTAGTTGGTGCTAGATTCTTTACAAAAATTGTTACAAACCTGATGGACGCGGAAAGCAAAACGCACGCCTTGCAGAATCAAGAACTCTCTAGCCGGTTCCTTCTCAGGTCCAGATAATGCATCAAGTTCAGATGCAACACGTTTCATATACTTCCTTGCTAGTTGTACAGAAGAAAGCTTTATCTACATTAAAGAGAACCAGCATGTGATTATAAGCTGCTACTTCTATGCAAATGCTAAAAGGAAATCTCCACTTTTGACATGTAACTCAAAAGGATTTGTCTTAAGGACACAAATTAAAATTTGACTATATTTAAATACCTTGCCTACAACTCCTGAATCTTGTAGCCAGTTTATTGGGATTCCGAATTCCTTGTATCGTGAAATAGCCATATCTCTTGTTCGCAACAGTGCATACACGCTTTGCTCTACTCTGCAAATTAATGAAATGTAGAGTCAGGTTCGACATTTTTGTGACTTTAAAATTCTTCATCTTAAGACTTAAACTATGACTAATGAGAGGATGTTTTTATTTATTAAGTTCTCAAGCCATCCATTTTCTTGGTAAGGAAAATAATAAATATATGGTAGGAAGGAATAGAGGCATGCATACTTTTCAAGCAAGGAATACATTTTCTTGAGAGCAGCATCACATGAGAGCTTTGGATCATCAATGAAGGTAGAGACTTGCTTCTCCAATTTCATAAGATCTTGATATTCAAAAGCTGCTTCCCTTAGTGCATCTGCTTTCCCCTCAGGCCAATCAAAGTGCTTCAGGACAGCTCGTTCATCAACCTTGCATTTTACAGGGAATCAAATGAGATGTACAACATATAAGTACACCAACATGTCTTTCAATTTTAGATGAATGAATTATCTGTGATATTGAGAAATGACACTCAAAGGCATGTATACCAAGAAGGAAAGTTCTTCATCTAGCCAGTTCACAAAGGCAACCAGGTCATTGACATCTGAAAAGAAGGATGCTCTAACATCAGTTGCCAAGGATGTGACAAAATCACCCTGTGTTTCTACATCAGCTTTCACCTATATACATGTTTAACACATGAGAAATAAATACTTTTCAAAACTGTGCTATGACTTTGACAAGCACCAACATGAGAAAAATTATAAAATAGATTGGAAACTTCAACATACTGCTAAGAGGAATGTTGATCTATTCTCAATTTCACCAATTATGTTGCTCCTGGCATCAGATGCGTTACCCGTTGAAGAAACTAGTAATGAAGTAGTATCCTTCTTTGCCTCCCGTTTCATCAATGACTGATAAAACTCAACTAACTGTGGAGCTCGATGAACTTTGTCGTCATCCATTGCCCCTCTTGATAGACCTCTTGGTGGAGGAGGTGGAGGAGGCGGTCCTCCTGGTGGACGAGGAGGGGGAGGAATAGATGGCGCAGATGGTATTCCATTCGCAGGATTTGAATTTGTGCTAACAGAACCACCACCTGATGGTTTAGGAGGCGGCCTAGGCACCCGAGTAGGCCTTTTCTCAATGTCGGCAAGCTTTATCTTGCTAATGTTTTGGTTTTCAACATTCTTTCCATCCTCAGATTGGTCATTTGGACTTTCAGGAACAATTGGCTTCTCCTTTATTTGAGAAAGTTTAGGTGGCAAAGATATATTAGGCCTCTCTCTTTCAGTCTTGGTCATATTCAAATTTGAATGGTTACCAAACTTCTGCACTCTTGCTTTCTCCGCCTTATCTTTTAGATCACTCTCTCTAGCCATGGCCAATTTATGGCGATCTTTATATGCAGGGTACTTTTCGTCCACAGACGCATCAACAGATGACTTGGACATCAATTGGAATGAAGTAGCAACAGAATTTAGTGAGTCGGTAGATGGGATTTTTCTAAGATCAGCACTAGCAGGAGTTGAAGTTTCAGGAGAATAAGAAGATTCGAGATCCCCTTGACCAAAGGTGGTGATGGCTACACTATCACTGGCGTTCCTTATCATCAAGCTTTCGAGTGGACCCCTAGATTTAACACTCATACTCGTCCTTTTTGGAGAACTTCCTGAAAATGATCTTGATGGCGATGAAAGAGCACTAGAATCATCTTTGACTTTGCCCCATTTCTTCAATTTTTGGATTATGCTTGTTTTCTTGCTAATACTACTATATTTGCTACTAAAGCTATCAATAGAAGCATTGTCAAAATCTTCACTTCCTGGTGAAGAGGGATGAGAGAAATTGCTATCGAGATCTGTGTCCCCTTGACCTCGTTCTGATCCAGCGTATTCTAACATCAACTGCTTTGCCCTCGCTTGTGATTTTGGGCTAAGGTTCTTGCTGAGGTCGCGTGCCGATAGTTTTCCCGAGGGTGCCTGCTGATTCTTTAGCTCATACCTCAAACATGCATTGACCCAACGAAGGTATACAAGCTCTTCAACTTCACTAAACCTATTCATTTGAAGTCCTTCCACTTGCTTTGACAGGTCTTCATTTGCGTGTCTCAGGTTACTGACCTCCTCTTTGACCTTGGCAACCATTTCACTCTGCAGTTCAACACAAAGCTTCAAATAGATTTACAAAACGAAGTTTCTAAATTACCGTTGATTTAAATATTTAAATGTCCAAGTGATGCAAAGCTTGTAAAGACGAAAGAAAAGAAGTCTAATTGAAAACTCTGACCTCTGTCATGTTGGAGAGCTCTGCTACTCTAGATTCAGCAGCATTGAGTTTAACAGTTAACTCTCGCTTCTCGTATTGAAGTTCTTTATTTTTCCTCTTAAGTTCCACAACATTAACCTCTAAGTCATTCACAGCTTTCAATTTCTTTTCAATCTCAGCATCATTTCTGGCACCCACTTCTTCTTTCACTTGTAGACCAGAAACTTGTTGTTTAAGCAACAAAAGTTGGCCTTTTGTTTGGTTAGCCTCAAGCTGCATTTGCCTTTGTAGCTCCTTTATCTTGTTTCTAGCCAACTCAAGATCTCTCTTTGCTGAAGCTCCATTTGTGAGTTCTTCTTGAAGCTTCTTCCTCTCGGCCTGCAATGAGTTAATCGTAATATTAAGCATATCTATTTCCACCGTCTTAATTTTCAGCTGCCTTTGTAACTCTACAATGTCTGATTCCTGCTCCTTTAAGCCATAGTACTCAAGCAATTCTCCTTCAAGTTTGACTTCCCTTTCCTCCAATTCCTTCACTAGCTGCCGCAGTCGTTCTAATTCACTGTCATTGTATGCCATCTCAATTTCATAAACTCTTTCTTTCTCATCCTTATTATCATCACTAGGAAATGATAACTCAATCTCTCCGGATAAAAAGTCTTCAAATTCTGGTAGAATATCATCATCTTCGAAATCATTAGCTCTATTAATTATGCTGCTAATTAACTTTACCTCCTCTTTCTCCTCTTCTTCCTCCTCCTCACTCTGCAAAACATGAAACAAGTTAGAGTTTGGCAATCATAAAGAAAAGAGATTAAAATTTGCTAAACTCACATCATTCCTTTGATGATGAGAATCATCTGTAATACTAGTGACCTGCTCTTGTTCGGTGTCTTCAGCTTGATGCTTTCGAGACTTTTCTTCATAATGATCTGAGCCAAAAAAAATGTTTTTGAATGAAATTGTTAAGTTGATAGATAGAATAAAGAAGTTAGAAAAATAGATAAAGCAAAAATACCTGATTTAGAGCTTCCAAGATTGAGCTGCTTAACTGTAAAAGCTGCTAATGAAGCAGCAACAATGAGTCCTAACCTGACTATCATGAAGCTATTTTTGCATTCCCCCTAAAGCCAGTCATTACCGATTATTGGTCCTAAGCATGGGACAAGTTAGAAAAGAGAAGGACATGCAGAGAAAAAAGTAAGCAGGAAATTTCGCTTATATCCATAATAATAATATTGGCTTTATCATCTTATCACCATATGGAACATTCCGTGAGAAACAGCAGCCACCAATAACTAGAGGCCAAAAATGATCACATAACTTGTTTGCTCAACTATGCCTCTAATTTCTTCAATTTAATGT